CAACAACATCCGATCATTTTAATTTGGCCAGATTTACAAGGTAATAAATTTTAAAAAAAGCAAAACTACCAATATTAATTGAAATCACAACCACTGAGAGAATTCAAAACTTTGGTTATTTAAAAAAACTACTAATTTTAATTGAAATCACATATACTGAAGATTGGATATTAAAAATATAAATGGTATAGCTAAATTGCAATCCATTTTGTTTTTCCAAAGGTACAAGAATTGGGTATACAGAGTGCCTACAGCCATGATCAAGGTACCTTCCACTTCATAAGAAAGATGCCGGCGCTACCCTTCCTGTCAGAGAACGAAATCTGGCCAATGTTTAACCGCCTCCAGTGTCAGGCTCCTGTCACATTGCAGCCCTTCACTGAGTAAGTGTCCGGCAACTGGATCAATGGCACCACCTGGACCCCATCATACTAGAATGTATTTAAAAAAGCCATGAGGACAAATAACAACATAGAAGGGGTGGCACCATGGCCTCAACCACCGAGCCTTCAGACAGCTGCCATTGTACCTCCTCATTCCGCTCCTAAACAGAGAGGCCAGACTTACTGTCCTGCAGATCCGCCTTCTCTCTAAACGGAAACTTAAGAGAAATCAGCAATGCAAGTACCGTGAGCTGCAGACCAAACTGTTCAACTTGTGGGACAAATATGAGGCCAATGAACAGTCCGCCAAGCGGTTGCTGAAAGCGTGCTCTTACCTGAATGCACCGAGGGACTAAGCTGAAAAACCATCACAAACAAAAAACAAATGGCTCCTTAAGGAGCCACCAAATAAAATAAAAGCAATGATCGACGATGTAATACATGCTAATACATAGAATACACAGAAAAAACTAAAAACAAGACAATTCTTTAAATAAAAATATAAAATCCTAAAAAAAGCCGAAGAATTTATGCAAACTTAAGTTTATCCTCATTGAAACTCGTTATCTTTTCTAAAAGCCATCTCACATGAGCTACCTCACACAATGACTCTAACCATTCAAAGTAGTTTGCCTCAAACAAAAAGTTCACGACAATATTTCACTAGTTTCTTACATGGAGTGAAGTGACTTTCGTATAAAGCAAAGTAACTTTGTATAGAGTGAGGTGACTTTCAATTATGAAGCAAACTGGCACTTGGTTGGAGCAAAGTGACTGGGGGCAAAATCACCATGGGGCAAGATGACCATAATTCCGCCACTAACCTGAGGTTACCTAGCCGGCTCTTTAACCACCCTTTCAGAAATGCTATTTTAACCCTGTGTTAACAAACCTGTGTTAAGAAATTTAACCTTTAGTTAGCCCTAATCCAAGGTTAGTTAAACCGGTCTTTTGAACAACCTGGCCAACTGCATAGTCATGCTGACATGCATACCATAGAACTTCCTAGAACATTTCTTCAAGTCACGTAGTTATTACATAATACTACTAAAATAGTTGTTTTAAAAGCTTCTGGAAGGTTCCAGGCCACTTTGTGAATGTGTAAAAGGACTCAGGTATGTAGTAGTAGCAGTTGTTGTTGTTGGGAGTGACTGTCTGTTTAGACAGCTGTACCATGAGAGAGAGAGCTACAGTGGAAGATTGCTAATTTCAAGAAACATTGGAGGAAACTGTGATTTCAGCTCGGTAACTTCTCCAAATCAAAACACAGCATTCAAATTTATTATAATACTTGACTATTTTCCTTTTGCAGTGAAGACCACATATGGAAGAAAGGCTCAAGTTAGTGAGTTAATGATCCTTACTCCTACACCAAATGACCCCAGTGTTCAGTGACTGAGTTATGTTTCAAGACGATTGACAAGAAACATTTGAAATATTAACCCCGATTATGCAAGACCTTTCACTTGACTATCAGGTTTCAGTTTTGCCAAAGGACAACGTGAGAAGTGAGTTTACTGAATTTGAGGGATTTTTAAGCTCTATGTCTATGTCTTATGAATGCCAAAGTTAATAAGGACATGCTTGGACAAATGTAAGCCGATTATTTTACCATAAGCTAGTTTTACAATCATTATCACACATTTTGTTACACATAGGAGACTCCCTGAAGATGTATGTGACAATCAACTGGAACATGCAATTACTTTAAACTTCCACCTCTACAAAGGATTGGTGAGTAAACCACTGGAGAATATCCAATTTCTCAGGTTATTATAAGTGTTTTGGATACACAGATCAGACACATGTGAAAGAAAATCTCCAATAAATCTGTAAGCAAAATGACAAATTTTAAGAAGAAATACTGCCTTTTTGTGTACCATAAATAAAACCCAAAAATGTTGTCATCTTTATGCAAAAAGCTACGTAATAACATGACACAACTATAAAAAGTCTAAAGCAATATAACATTTCTCGCAAAAACAATGCATCAAAATGCACAAATAAGGCATCAAGAAATTCATAAGATCTCTATTCTCATTGTATTTGATTCTGTTGAGTTAATTAAGCTAAAACCTCTGAAAAATATCTTGTATCAAATTTGATCAACAAAATTGTTAGAGCTGACTCCACTCATGATATTCAGCTATCCATAATGAAAATTTGAAGGAAAAAAAAAAGAACGATATGATCAACATTTATAAGTGGCTACGTAAATTTATAAATATTCATTTAACCAGTTGAGTAGCCCAAGAGTCAGGGACAAGTGCCCAAGGGAAAGAAAGAGAAGTAGAATCCCCTAAGTCAGAGAAAATGAAATGGGTAAGTAAATTCCTTAAACTAAAAATTAAGCCAATAATAATTGTTGTTACTGGTTTTTTTTTTTTCAAAGTAACAGTTACATTTACCCCTAATGTGGAAATACATGTTCCATGAGTTTAATTTGCAGCCATACTGGTGAAAATATAACATAACCATGATGGAAAAGAAGTTGAGTTGTATAATTGTCATAGTTTAAATTTCTGGAAAAAAGGAATGCAAATTAATTTCCTGGTCAATTATTGTTGAAACAACCCTCTCCCCTCAGCGTTGATGACTTTTTTTCCACGTGTTAATAAATTCTCATTGCCAACATCAGCAAAGAGGGAATTATACTTGAACAATTGCACCCAGCCTGAGGATGATATTCAAATAACAAATTACATTGTGGTAAGCTGTCTATAGTGCGTGCTTGAGGTGTTTGACATTTGTCAATATATCAAAGAACTGCAAAATAACCAGTGCTCTGATACCAGGTTGAAGCCATGAGACAGAAACATCTGCCCCAACAGCC